TATATATATATATATATACATCTTTGAGGGTTTAGGGTTTAGGGTTTAGGGTTTATGAATACTGTTGCTATCTTAATCCACCAGCTCTTTGCTGGCTGCATAAGAGTATAGACAAATAGCCGCAAAACCCTAAACTTCAAACGGTAAACCCTAAACCCCAAATCCTAAACCCTAAACCCTAAACCCCAAACCCTAAACCCTAAACCCTAAACCCTAAATTAGGGTTTAGGGAATTTGCGATTATAGTATACATCCATCATAAGTCCTTTACGATCAATAAAGTTAGGGTCTTTATAATCAGCAGGAAGAGGGACCTCAGGTAGCTAAAAAAAAAAAAAAAAAGAGACAAAAAAGGAGACAGTAAACCCTAAACCCTAATAACACTAATATATATAAAAGAGGAAGAGATAAACACTAATATATACAGGAGAGACAGAGAAGGAAAAAAATATAAACACTAATATACAACAAATAAAGAAAAGCAAAGAAAAGAAGAAAAAGTGTTTTTAGGGTTTAGGGTTTAGGGTTTAGGGTTTAGGGTTTACGTACCGTTCCTATCTCATATGCCCAAGCAATTTCTTCTTTAGGGTTTATAGATGGAGAAAACCGCGCTGTACCATCAGCAGGAAGTTGGCTCTGCAACAAACCCTAAACCCTAAACCCTAAACCCTAAACCCTCAAACCCTAACCCAAAACCCTAAACCCTACGAACTTTAACCGCATCAACGCAACCCTGAAACCCAAACCCTAAACCCTAAACCCTAAACCCTAATTAACCTGAAGAGAATCAAGAGTAATAGCTGAATAAGGAGGAGAGTAATGTAGATTAGATACATCAACTAAGAAAGGAGGAGGAGGTTCTTTTCCTACAAATTGTACAGGTACTGTAGGACGAGCTAACTCTACATGGTAACCTGCAGCAGCAGCAGCAGCAGCAGCAGCAGCAACAGCAGCAGCAGCAGGAAGTGCAGGAGCAGTAGTAGGGGGAGAAGCAGCAGCAAAAGGGGAAGGAGCATGTGGGATTACGCGAGGGGTATCCAGGGATCTAAGGGTTTAGGGTTTAGGGTTTGAATTAGGGTTTAGGGTTTAGAAGAGGCTACAGTCTAAGCTACAGGTTGTATTAGTGTTTCGTTAGGGTTTAGGGTTTAGGGTTTAGGGTTTCCTTGTGTATCTAGGGTTTATGGATACGTAAAACTTCCTTCCTATTGTATATATTGCACATCTACTGTATCGAATATATCTAGGGTTTAGGGTTTAGGGTTTAGGGTTTAGGGTTTAGGGTTTAGGGTTTATTACCTTTATGGTAAGCAGGACAAGCCATAAGACCAAGAAGGGTTAGGGGTATAAACACTTCGGATACAAAACCCTCATAATGACGCTCAAACCCTAGGAAGCTAATTGATCGAGCAACTGCAGCATAAACCCTAAACCCTAATAAACCCTAATAAACC